TGGAGGGCCCCCTCGGCCCGGAGGTGGGGGTCCCCGAGGAGTTGGTGGTGGTGGCGGTGGCACACCTCCCAAAGGTACAGGGGGCAGTGGACCAGAACGACCCTTGTTACTCCCCACAGTTGGGGGCCGGGGGGGCTGGTTCCCTCCTCGGGATGGCGGTGGGGGTGGTGGAAGCGGCTCTGAGGGGGGAAATAACACATAGCTATTATTATAGTTTTCTTCCAAGCCTGTTTCACTCATTTGTAAACTGGGTACCTGAGCCCTAGCCGGTTTCGTTCAGTGGATAGAGCGTCAGCCTGTGGACTAAAGGGTCCCAGGTTTGATTCTGGTCAAGGGCATATGCCCAGGTTGCGGGCCCATCCCCAGTGTGAGGCCTGCAGGAGGTAGCCAATCAATGATTCTCTCTCATCATTGATGTTTCTATCTCTCTCTCTCCCTCTCCCTTCCTCTCTGAAATCAATCAAAAAAAATTTTTAATGGGTACCCAACTGACCAACTCCCAATTGTAGCAGTAGAGGGGTTTCCAGAAGACTAAGTGATTACTTTTGGAAATCAGCCACCAGGGTTGGAGAAGAAGGGGGTGTCCAGTAGAAGGGACTCACCCTGGCGCCTCATCTCCTGCCGCACAGCTTCCAGCCCGCCCTGATCCTCAATGAAGTCATAGATAAGTTTGGAGGTCTCAGCATCAGTGAGCTGGGCCTCACTGATTCCCGCCCTAGAGAACAGGCTCCGCAGATCCGGGTCCAGGTTGTTTACCTGCCCCGAAGGAAAAGGTCAGGGGCAGGAGTGGGTGAATAAGGTGGGGAGGGAAGGGACATGGATTGTCATCGGGTCCACCCCAGAGAGGGAGCTGAGAGGGCTGTGGGAAGGGGAGGGTCTGGAGGTAGGTCTGATAGCTGGACTATGGAAGGGTAGGTGGGAGCTGAACAGGGGCCAGGGGACTTTGGAGTTACTCACGTCAAATCCATTCTGGGGGTCCCACCCCACGTGGCTGACATGTCTAGGGGAGGGGAGGAGACCCCAGTGAAGCCCTCCTGCCCTTCCTTCCCTCCCTTCCTAGTGAAGCCCTCCTGCCATCTTTTGCCCAGAGGGACCAGAATTAACAAATGAGCCATAAGTGAATGAATGAGTGAATGAGTGAGAACAGTAGTTATGGAATTAGAAGGGGTCCATAGTTTATGGTGCCCATCTACCCATTTCATCCTATTTCCACCATCTATCCACCATCCATTTGTCCAACTAGCCATCCCCATTCACCTGTCAGACTACTGATCCATATTTGTCTCTCCATTTATCTGCCTACACACATCTGTTTATCCATTTGCCCAACAATCTGTCCTCACACACACTTGTCCATCCACCAATCCATCTATCCATGGGCTCACCTTTCCATTCATCCACTCATTTGTCTCCATTCAACCACACACTTCTGTCCAGTTATCCATTGAACTGTTCATTCATCCACAATTCTGGCCATCTATTCATCCCCATCCACCTTGTCTGTGAACCAATCAGCCTATAGATCCACCCTTTTATCCCCACTTCCCATTTACCCATCCTCCCATCCATCCAACCACCTATCCATTTATTCTCCTCCCATTCATTCATTCATTCATTCACTCATCTATTTATCTACCCACCCATCTACTCACCCTCCAGCCCACCCAGGTTAAAACTAGAGTGAGGCAAGTGAGACGCCTAGGGTACAAAATTTAAGGAGGCACTCACTCTCAGTCATGAATTGAACTTGCATGACCCTGAAAATTTTTCAACCTTGGTGCCTCACTTGCCTCTCCCTAGATCCATCCATCCATCCACCCACCCATCCACTCATCTACCCATCCATCCATCCATCCATCCATTCACCACCCACCCATCCACCCATCTAGCCATTCATCCATCCATCCATCCATCCATCCATCTATCCATCCACCCTTCCATCCACCCATCCATCCATCCACCCACCCACCCATCCATTCATCCACTCAACCATCTATCCATCCATCCACCCACCCATTCATCCATCCACCCTTTCATCCATCCATCCATCCATCCATCCATCCATCCATCCATCCATCCATCCATCCATCCATCCATCCATCCATCCATCCATCCATCCATCCATCCATCCATCCATCCATCCATCCATCCATCCATCCATCCATCCATCCATCCATCCATCCATCCATCCATCCACCTTCTATCCAGCCATCCATCCACTCATCTACCCACCCACCTACCCATCCACCCATCTGTCCACTCATCCACTCACTCACCCTCCATCCTGCAATCCGCAGGCCAGCGGAGTTCTGTGCTGCTCTGGTACATGCTGAGGGGTCTAGAGACATCCTTTCTTTTTCATCCCCAGAGCACTTGCCACTTAATAGGTTACCAACGACCACAGACAAGACCAAATGAAGTCTGTGTCCCAAGGAAGGAGTGTTCAGGGATTAGATACGAGGGAGATGCCACCAGCCTTTGCTCAGTCTCCAGGAGAGCCCCGCCCTCACCCGGCCCAGATATTAGCTTGTCTAGAGCCAGAGACAAAAATGTCTCCAAAGACACAGGAGACGGAGGCTGTCCAGGCACCTGGGCCTGAGCCAGCCAGTGTCAAACAGTGGAGAATCCCTTGCCCCAGTGACCAGGCCACCTGCTAAGCGGGTCTCCAGGCTGGGAGAGAGCCTGAGCAGGAGAGACGTGATGTGCACAGAGGCCTCGCACCACAGGGACCAGGTGGTCCGGGGCCTCAGCACCCCACAGGAGGGGGCCAGGCCTGCACGGGGCCCTGGCCTGTGGGGTAAGAACCGTGGAGTATGTGGGGTCTCTGAGTATTTCCAGGAGCACCGCTGGACTGTCCTCATGTGCACAGATCCTGAGTGGGTTTCCTGGGGAAACGGAAACTTTGGAGCCGGGCAGGAGCCATCAGGGCACCAGCCATGCCCGGCCGGTCCCCACCAGGGCTGCGGGAGCAGCGGCCGGGCCGGGAGGCTCGGGGAGAAGCCCTCTGCCTGGATCGTCAGCAGATGGAAATCCTTCCTGCAGCCTGGCTCTTCCTGGTCAGTGGCCCCTCCCCAGCCCCTCACTGGGTCCCCCAGGGGCAAACTCACCGTGGTGTCCTGCCCTGGGGAGCTGCTGCGGCTGGGCCCGGGGGCCAGGCCCTTCCCCTTCTCCCACAGAGTGTACCGGGCGCTGGGTCGGTAGGTGGGGCTGAGCACTTCAGGGACTCGCGAGGGAGGAGCCTGGGCAGGAAGCTGAGGGGTGCTGCCCTTGCGCCCGTAGTTCTCCAGGTAGTCGGCCAGGTACTCCGAGCGGCTGGCCGCCTGGTAGAGGCCCTGCAGGGCACACAGCTCCCGGCGGGTGC